CTTTCCCCTCACAACTCACCCCACAGAGGCCTACAGCCCCTCACAGACCCCTCAGATCCCAACGTTTCTCCTCACAGCCCCCCCGCCCCCCCATATCCCCTCACAGGGCGGTGCCGGGCTGCCGCCGCGGGGTGAGGAACAGCATTCGGGCGGGGCGGGCGGCGCTGGCGTCCGGGTGGGCGCTCCAAGGCTTGGCGTAGCTGTGGTCCAGACACACCAGGTCGAGCTCCCGCTCGTGTGCCGACAGCTGCAACAGCAGCGAGGTCCCCATCCTCCTCGCCGACCACTGCAGTTCCCGCTCGCGCTCCCCGCCGCGCTGCGCCATGGCACCGCCGCCCCCCGCCCGCCCCGCGGCGCGCACCGCGCATGCGCGGCCGGAGGGAGGAGCGGCGGGAGCGGGAGGCGCATGCGCGGGAAAGCGCGGAGGAGGGAAGATGCGGAGAGTGGATTCGAGCGGAGCGGAGCGGAGCGGGGCGGGAGGAGTCAAGAGGAGGAAAGTGGAGTGCGGAGCGGAGCGGGGGCGGAGACGGCGTGTACGTGGATGGGGACACGGGGACGTGTGGATGTGGGCACGTGTGGATGTGGGGATACAGGGACATGGGGACAAATGGATGCGGGGACATGGGGCACAGAGTGACATGGGATGCATGGATGTGGGGGACATGGGGACGTGGGGACATGGGACACATGAATGTGGGATATGGGAACATGGGGCACAGAGTGACATGGGATGCATGGATGTGGGGATATGGCGATGTGGTGATGTGGGACACACGGACATGGGAACATGGGGATGTGGGGCACATGGATGTGGGATATGGGAACATGGGGACATGGGACACACGGACATGGGGACATGGGACACATGACTGTGGGATATGGGAACATGGGGCACAGAGTGACATGGGATGCGTGGATATGGGGATATGGGGACGTGGGGACATGGGATGCATGGACATGGGGACAAATGGATGCAGGGACATGGGGCACAGAGTGACATGGGATGCATGGATGTGGGGATATGGGGACATGGGGACATGGGACACATGGACATGGGGACATGAGACACATGAATGTGGGATATGGGGACATGGGTCACAGTGACACGGGATGCATGGATGTGGGGGTATGGGGACATGGGGACATGGGACACAGTGATATGGGATGCATGGATGTGGGGATCCAGAGACATGGGACATGGGAACATGGGGACAAATGGATGCGGGGACATGGGGACATGGGACACATGGACATGGGGACAAATGGAGGTGGGGACATGGGGCACAGAGTGACATGGGATGCACAGATGTGGGGATATGGGGACATGGGGACATGGTACATGTGGACGTAGGGATGTGGGGACAAATGGATGTGGAGACATGGGGACATGGGGACACACGGACATGGGGATATGGGGCACAGAGTGACATGGGGTGCATGGATGTGGGGACATGGGGACATGGGGACATGGGACATGTGGACATGGGACACACGGAGACGGGGACATGGGGACAAATGGATGTGGGGACATGGGGACATGGGACACATAGAGGTGGGGACATGGGGACACACAGACATGGGGATATGGGGCACAGAGTGACATGGGATGCATGGATGTGGGGATAAGGCAACGCGGGACACACAGACATGGGGACATGGGGACGTGGGACACATGGATGTGGGATATGGGGACATGGGGACACAGTGATGTGGGTCACATGGACATGTGGACACATGGAATGGTTTGGATTGAAAAGAGACTCTAAAGATGGGCCATAAAGATCTTAAAGATCTCCATAGGGCCGTGGGGCACAGGGACATATGGAAAGGAGGGACAGGGGGACATGGGCACACAATCAGGGATGCAGTGACAAGGGGCACATGGACATGAGGATATGGGGACACACAGACATGAGAGTTTGGTGACACGTCACACAGACATAAGGACACAGTGTGGGGACACGGCGACATGGGGACAGCTGGACACGGTAACACAGAGCCACACAGACATGGGGACAAACGGACACAGCGACACAGACACATGGTGGTTGACATGGGGACACCCACCCCACAGCAGCAGCAGTGTTCCTTTTTGTGCCCCACCCCAATGCATTCGGGAACGTGACAGCACCATGGTGACAACGCCGTGGTGATAGGGGGACACGGCCATGCTGAGGCTGCTGGTGGCCAGCGCTCACCTCCCGGCGGCCACCGGTGCAGGACCCGGTGTGCACGTTTATGCTCGCTTCAGAGGTACTGCTGGGGACAAGGGGACACTGAGGTGGCTGTCCCTGCACTTCTGGGTGGCATCAGCCACCTTCGTGTCATCGTCACGGGATGGGGTGGCACTGAGTGACTTCATGGGATGGGATGCTGTTGGATGCCCGCATGGGATGGTGGCACGTGGGAATGGCACACGGGGACAGTGCCAGCCACACCAATGTCCCCAACCCAACTCCTGTCCCTCCAGGTGTCCCCAGAAGCACCCGGGTGGTGCCAGCAGAGTGCAGCCCAGCATGGAACGAGGTGAGTTGTCCCAGAGGTGGCCAACATCAGCGTGGGGGCACGTGGCCACCCTGCCAACCTCTGTCACCCACCCCACAGACGCTGGTGTGGCCTCTGGCCACACGTCCCCTGCGCCCCATGGACAGCCTGGCCCTGCGCCTGCAGCTTTGGGGTCAGCCAGAAGCACACAGGTGAGTGTCACCCACGGGTGAGCACTGCAGGGTGCCATCCCCACGGTGGCTGTGCTCACTGTCCCCATCCTTGCAGGCTCCTGGGTGCCACCACGGTGCCTCTGCGCTGCCTGGCAGAGGACCCTGGGCTGCCACTTGATCTCAGCCAGCTCCCATTGCGAGACACTCAGGGACATCCCACAGGAGCCACTGTTTCTTTGCGCTGCTCCTACGTCCCCCCTGGGCAGGTGGCAGCAGGGAATGTCACATCCCAGCAATCAGAAGGAGTGGCACCATGCCTGTCTCCCCCACGTCCCACCCCAGTGGTGGGGACAGCTATCGGAATGGCACCACACCGCCACCCCAAACCTGCAGCAGGGAAGAAGGAGGATTTCCAGGTAGGGCACCCAAAGGTGAGGTGACCCTCAGTGTGATGTCCCTTGTCACCACATTCCCGTGTCCCATAGGTGCGGGTCAGGGTCCTCGAGGGCCACCAGCTGCAGGGCAGTGCCATCAAACCAGTGGTGACGGTCCTCATCGGCGAGCAGCGCTTCAGGAGCAGGATCCGTGCTGGGAACAACCCCTACTACAACGAGGTGGCCCTGGGGACAAGGACACGCTGCTGTCCCCTCATCCATCTCCACTGCACTCATGGCTTTGCCCGTTTTTAGGTGTTTTCTCAGCATTTCCACCTGACGCCCGCACAGCTGGCAGCAGTGCCCATCCACATCCAGGTCGGGGTCGATGGCACCGTGGGGGTGGTGGCAGCGCGGTGGCCGCTGACTTTGTCCCCAACCCCACAGGTTCTCAACTCCAGGGCCATCCGTGCCGATGCCATCATCGGCGCCTTCAAGGTAAGGACGACAGAGGGGGAAACGGGGTGACAAAACCCACCCTGGCCCTTTTCCTCCACTGTCCACTCCCAACAGCTGGACGTCGGCACCATCTACAACGCACCCGGTAGGGGGCCCTGCATGGTGCTGGGGTGCCCACGGGGTCACGGAGCTGCACAGAGGTGACGTGGGTGTCCCCAACTGGAGCAGGGCGCAGGCTGAGGGGGACGTGGCTGAGCCTGCAGCACCCCCGGCACCCCGATGCTGGATGCTGTGGGTACCTCCGTATCAGCGCGGCCGTGCTGCGTGCCGGCGACCCCGTGTCGGTGAGCACCTTTAAGCATCGTTATGTTAATGAATGAATTAAATAAAAAATAGTAGGTATAGGTATATATGTATCTTTTTCTTAAAGGAGCGGGAGGAGGTAGCAGGGAGCCAGGAGGTGGAAGCCAATCTCTTGCAGTCTGTGTTGCTCACCCCATGCGTGGCCACGCTGCAGCTCCGCATCTACCGTGCTGAGGAGCTGCCTCGGGGTGTGTGATGGGCATGGATGCCACCTAACCCTAAAACTGGCCAAACATTAGCCCTAACCCTAGTGCAAACTCTAAGCCTAGCCCTGATCTAACCCCAAGATAACTCGAACCCTAACATAACCCTAATGCAGCCCTAACACAACCCTACTCTAACCCTAACCAAAACCTAATCTAACTGAACCCTAGCCCTAACACTAACCTAACCTTAATTTATCCCTAACTTAACCCTAACCTAACCTAACTAACCCAACCCTAACCCTTACCCTAACCTAACTTAACCTAACCCTAGCCCTTACCCCAATTTACCCCTATCCCTAACCCTAATTTATCCCTAATCCTAATCTAACCTAACCCTAACCCAACGCTAACCTAACCTAACCCAACCCTAACCCTAACCAAACCCTGACTTATCCCTAACCCTAATCTATCCTAACCCAACCCTAACCCTAACCCTAACCCTAACCTAACCCTAACCCTAACCTAACCCTAACCCTAACCTTAACCCTAACCCTAACCCTAACCCTAACCCTAACCCTAACCCTAACCCTAACCCTAACCCAACCCTAACCTAACCCTAACCCAACCCTAACCCAACCCTAACCCAGCCCTAACCCTAACCTAACCCTAACTCCTCCCTGTCACAGAGGAGCCATCACGTCCGTTCCTTGCTGGCAGCAAGAGGAGCTTCGTGGCAGCGGCGGTGCGCGCCAGCTTTGCGGGCAGGACGGTGGGTGATGGGGGCACAGTGGGTGCTGCTGACACGTGCCAAGGGGTGACAGTGTCCCCAACACAGCTCTGCACTCGAGTGATGCCCCCCGATGCCAGGCCCACGTGGAACGAAGTGTTCTTCTTCCCCCTGCGGGTGAGGTGCCCCCTGCCCAAAGTGGGCTCTCCAATAAATCCCTTATTTAAATCCCCTATTTAATCCTCTATTTTTTCCCCTACCCCAATTTTGTCCCCCCAGCTGCCCCCACTCTGTGATGCTATCGAGCTGGCCATCCTTAGCGGGTAATTGGGGCATCCTCAATTTGGGGGTCCCCTGGTGTTGCCCCCACCCATCACCCCTCGCCCCTCAGGTCCAAGGTGCTGGGCACTGCCGCACTCCACCTCTCCCACATCTCCTCCGCTGGTGCTGAGCTTGAAGGTGAGTGTGATCCCACCTTGGGGGGGTCCCCAGCTTGCAGCCCCCCGCCCTTCCTGAACCCCATGGTTTGCTTTAGGAGGGGTCCCAGGTTTCTTACCCTGCTTCGGACCCAGCTTCCTCCCCTTCTATGGTCCACGGAGAGATGCTGCTGATACACCCAGCGTGAGTGCAATAGGTGACAGCATGGAGCATCGCCTGCATTCAGGGGGGACACAGCCCCCCAGCACCCCCCCCTCTGTGTTATAGGACACCATGGTGGCATACAGGGGTCGGGTGCTGCTGGAGCTCAGCACCCACACAGGGGACTCCGATGGGCGCCAGCAGGACACCATCACCCCAGAGGACATCAGCCGTGTGCAGGTGGGGACGCAGTGATGTGTGGTCACTTTTTTATCCCAGGGTAGGGGAGATTATTTGTGTTTTTGGGGGGGATTTTCTCCTCTTGCAGCGCCTTCTGCCGTGTCGCCACCGCCTGGGGCTCTGTGCAGTGTTCTACTCTGCCACCATGCTGTCCCCCACATCCGAACCGCTGCGCTTCGAGCTCAGCATCGGCAACCACGGGGACACCGGGGACACCTCGTGCCACCCCGCTGCCTCCGCCACACCGCAAGGCCACCCCCTCTTTGATGGTGAGCAAAGCAGGGGGACATCCCCTGTCCCCCTGGGGACACCGTGGGGTGCTCATCCCACTGTGCGTGCAGGGAACCGCTACTACTACATGCCCTGGCACGACAGCAAGCCGGTGGTGGCCGTCACCTCCACCTGGGAGGATGCTGGGCAGCGGTGGGACGGGCAGAACCTGATGCACAGTGTGGGCGAGAGGCTGGTGAGCAGCCAGGGGTGGGGGGAGGTGTGGATGTGGGGGTGTGGGGACGTGGGGACAAATGGATGTGGGGATATGGGGACGTGGGACACAGGGGGTGAGGACTTGGATGTGGGGACATGGGGACATGGGGATGTGGGAGTGCAGGGACATGGGGACATGGGGCACAGGGGGGTGGGGACGTGGATGTGGGGACATGGGGACATGGGGATATATGGCTGTGGGGATATGGGGACATGGGGACGTGGGGCATAAGGGATGGGGACACGTGGATGTGGGAATGCAGGGACATGGGGACAAATGGATGTAGGGATATGGTGACTTGGGCAGAAGAGATGGGGACACGTGGATGTCGGGACATGGGGACATGGGGAAAAATGGATGTAGGGACATTGGGACATGGTGACATGGGGCACAAGGGATGGGGACAGATGGATGTGGGAATGCAGGGACATGGGGACAAATGGATGTGGGGACATGGTGACATGGGGCATAAGGGATGGGGACATGTGAATGTAGGAATGCAGGAACATGGGGACAAATGGATGTGGGGATATGGGGACATGGTGACATGGGGCACAAGGGATGGGGATACATGGATGTGGGGACATGGGGACAAATAGATGTGGGGACATGGAGACATGGGGCACAAGGGATGGGACACATGAATATGGAGACATGGAGACATGGGGACAAATGGATGTGGGGACATGGGGACATGGGGCACGAGGGATGGGTACACGTGAATGTGGGAATGCAGGGACGTGGGGGGCAAATGGATGTGGGATATGAGGATGGAACACATGGATGTGGGGACACACAGATGTGGGCATGCAGGGACATGGGGACACATAGAAGGGTTTGGATTGAAAAGGACCTTAAAGATGAACCGAAAAGATGGATGTGGGGATACAAGGATATATGGACATGGGAACGTGGTGACCTACAGACATGGGGACACAGGGATGTATGGATGGGGGACATGGGGACGCACGGACATGGGGATGGGTGGCAGGGATGAGCGCTGGGTGGGAGCTGGTCAACAATGAGGTTTACAGGAGAGAAATGTGGCAATGCTGAGGAACGCGAGGACGGATGCCCATGGGGACATTGGGAGGAAGCTGCTGCGTGAGCTGGCGCGGGACTGCAGGTCAGCATGCAGGGGGAGGGCTGTGGATGCTCTTAAATCATTGACCCCAGCGCTGGAAGTGGGGTGGGGAAGGGAGCCCAGCACCTGGGAGGATGCAGTGGGGCAGACTGAGGAAGAAAATGGGGCACTGGAGGGAAAAATAAAGGGGCGTTTTGTGGGGTAAATGGGATGCTTCAGAGGGAAATTGGGCATTTATGGGGGGTAATGCGGAATTTTGGGTGAAAGTTGGGCACAGATAGGAGAAAACAGGAAATCTGGGGGGGAATAGAGCATTTATGGGGGGGGAAATGGGGCATTTGAGGAGAAAAGTGTGGCTTGGGGGGATAAAAATGGGTATTTAGGGGGGAGTAAGTCATTGGAGGGGAAAAAAAATGGTTTAATTAGGGGAAAAATGAGCATTTGAGAGCCAAACATGGAGCATTTTGCAGGGAAATTGGGCGTTCTAGGAGGAAAATGAGCGTTTCTGGGGGGGTAATGCGACATTTGGGATGAAAAATTGGTATAATGGGGGGGAAATCGGGTGTTTTGGGGGGGACGGGGGCATTTTAGAGGGGAATGGGGCAATTCTGGGGAGATATGGGGCGTTTGGAGGCAAAACTGAGGTTGCGAGAACTATTGGTGAGAGGTGGATGCTTGGACTGGGTGATCTCTGAGGTCTTCTCCAACCTTGGTGATTCTATGAGATGGGAGGCATTTCTGAAGCAGAAATGGGTTGTTTTGGATGTAAATTGTGGATTTTGGGGGGGAGGAGGGCAGAATGGAGGGCATTTCTGAGGTGGAAATGGATCACGCGTTTAAAAGCCGTTTGGATGTGGTGCTCAGGGACACGATTAGCGGAGGGCTGTTAATTAGGGGGGTACGGTTAGCGCATGGTTGGACTCGATGATCTTTGAGGTCTTTTCCATCCTGATTCTATAATATATATATAATTTTTTAATGAGAATTGGGAGTGAAATTGGAATTGAGTGAAAATTGGATGATCTGCAGGAAAACAAGGCTCTTTTTCAAGGGAAACGGGGCGTTTTGTGGAGGAACATCCGGGGATCGAGATGCAATGGGAACGCTGTCACCTGGGAGGAAATGAGGGGCGTTTTGGGGTGAAAATTAAACATTTTGGGGGCGAGCCAGGTGGGTGAGCATCCCCCATATCCTCTCCCCAGGGCTGCCCTGCCCGTGCTGCAGGCCCAGCGCCCCAAGACACGGCTGGACGCGGAGCTGCGTGCCGCCCGCCTGCACCTCCTGCAGCTCCTCGCCTCGGCCGCCGCCGCCGGGCCTCCGCGCCATGCCTGGGCTGAGCTGCTCCCCGAGGCCGAGGCCTGGCTGGGCCGTGTGGCTGCCCTGCAGGTTGAGGTGTGGTGAGAACCCCGTTTTGAGGGGTTTTTTTTTGTTTTTTTTTGTTTTTTTTTTGGCTCTCGATGTCACAGAATCGCACACACAGAACGGCCAGGGTTGGAAGGGACCTCAAGGATCACGGAGCTCCAACCCCCTGCCACACGCAGGGCCACCAACCTCACATTTCAGAGCAGCCCAGGCTGCCCAGGGCCCTATCCAACCTGGCCTTGAACACCTCAGGGATGGACGGGGCATCCACAGCCTCTCTGGGCAGCTGTTCCAGCACCTCACCGCTCTCATAGCAAAGAACTTCCCCCTGACATCCAAACTAAATCTTCCCTCTCTCAACTTCAAATCATTTCCCCTTGTCCTGCTGTTATCTCCCCTTTCCAAGAGCTGATTCCCCTCCTGTTTGTAGGCTCCCTTTAGGTACTGAAAGGCTGCAATGATTCACCCCGCAGCTTCTTTTCTCCATGCTGAACAAGCCCAGCTCCCTCAGCCTGTCCTCATAGGGGAGGTGCTGCAGCCCCTGCTCATCTTTGTGGCTCCTCTGGACCCCCTCCAACAGCTCCCTGTCCTTCTTGTCCCGGGGGCTCCAGCCCTGGACGCAGTGCTGCAGATGGGGCCTCACGAGAGCAGAGCCGAGGGGGACGATCACCTCCCTGTCCCTGCTGGCCACCCCCGTTCTGATGGAGCCCAGGATCCCGAGCTGCAATCACACCCCGCTGGTTCACATTCAGCTTTTCATCCATCAGGACCCCCAGGTCCTTCTGTGCAGGGCTGCTCTCAAGTTTTGCTCCTTCCAGTCTGTAGGGATGCCTGGGATTCCTCCAGCCCAAGTGCAAACCCTCGCACTTAGCTGCACTGAACTTCATTAGGTTCACCTTCCAAGCCTGCTGAGGTCCCTCTGAGCAGCATCCCCTCCTTCACACGGATGCCCCCCTCCATCTTGTCCCGCTCTGTCCCAGCCTCAGGCCGGCGTTCCCGACGTGCTGCTGTGGCTGCGGAGCGGTGCCCGCTGCCTGGCCTGCGCCCGCATCCCCGCACACCGCCTCGCCTGCTCACCCCATGGCCCCGCAGCCTGCGGCCGGCTCTGCGGACGGACGCACACCCTGATGCTGGGGGTAGGGCAGCAAGCGGCCCCTGGACCCCTCATGGCCCCTCAGTGCCTCTTCTACATCCCCTCCATGTCCCCTCCATGTCCTCTCCAAGTCTCCTCCATATCCCCTCCACTTTCCTTCGATGTCCCATCTATGTCCCCTCCATAGTCCCCTCTACAACCTCTCCATATCCCCTCCATGTCGCATCTATGTCACCTCCCCATCCCTTCCACGTCCTCTCCATATCCCCTCCATGTCCCCTATGTGTTCCATCTATGTTGCCTCCATGTCCTCCCCACAGTCCCTTCGTGTCCCCTCCATGTCCTCTCCCCCTATATACCCATTCAACATTCAAACCATGTCACCTCCATGTCTCCTCGCTATGCTCTTCTCATTCTCTGCCTTGTCCCCTCCGTGTCACCTCCATGTCAACTCCATACCACCTCCATGTCCTCTCCATGTCACCTTCATGTCCCCTCCATGTCCTCTCCAAGTCTTCTCCATATCCCCTCCACTTTCCTTCGATGTCCCATCTATGTCCCCTCCATAGTCCCCTCTACAACCACTACATATCCCCTCCAAGTCCCATCTATGTCACCTCCCCATCCCTTCCATGTACCCTCCATGTCCCATCTGTGCCACCTCCATGTCCTCTCCACAGTCCCTTCATGTCCCCTCCATGTCCTCTCCCCCTATATACTCATTCAACATTCAAACCATGTCACTTCCATGTCCGCACTCTATGCTCTTCACATCCTCTCCCAGTCCTCTCTATATCTCTTCCATGTCCCCTCTGTGTCACCCCCATGTCAACTCCATATCATCTCCACATCCTCTCCATGTCCCCTCCATGTCCCATTTATGTCACCTCCATGACCCCTCCATACCCTTTCCCAAACCCCTCTATATCTCCATGTCCTCTCTGTATCCCATCTAATTCACTTCCATGTCCCTTCTGTGCCCCATCTATGACATCTCCACGTCCTCTCCACATTTCCTCCGTGTTCTCCACATGTCCCATCTATGTCACTTCCCTGTCCTTTCCATGTTCATCCCACATCCCATCTAGATCTTCACCCCATTCCTTCCATGTCCACTCCATGTCCCCTCTACCTCCCCTCCATTTTCCCTCAACATCCCCACAATGTCTCACCTCTTCCTCCATACCTCCCCATGTCCCCTCTGTGTCCCTACACTCCACGTTCCCTTTGTGCCTCACTCATGTCCCCTCATGATGTCCCCAGGCCCCGGGACACCTCCATGCCCAGCTCCGTGTCCGGCTGTGGCTGGGGCGTGTGGCTGAGAGCCAGGAGCTGCCACGTTACTTGGAGGGTCCCCTGCACGTCTATGCTGAGATAGTGAGTGCTGGGCAGGGGACAGCGTGGTGGCATGGTGACGTGGTGACACTGGGATAAAGTGACACCATGACACGATGACGTGGTGACGTGATGATGTGGTGACACTGTGACATGGTGGTGAGATTATATGGTGACATGGTGACACAGTGACATGATGACATGGTGACGTGGTGACGTGGTAACACCGTGACATAGTGACACCGTGACATAGTGACACCGTGACATGGTGACATTATCCCAGGGTGACATGACGACATGGTGATATGGTGACAAGGTGACTCCGTAATGTGGTGATAAGGTGATATGTTGACGTGGTGACACCATGATGTAGTGACACAGTGACACGGTGACGTGGTAACATGGTGACACCATGATGTGGTCATGAGGTGATATGGTGACATGGTGACACCATGAGGTAGTGATATTGTGACATTATGACATGGTGACTTGGTGATGAGGTGACACAGTGATGACATAGTAACATGGTGACATGGTGATATGGTGACACAGTGACACAGTGACATGGTGACATGGTGACACTGTGACATGGTGAGGTGATATGGCAACATGGTAGCACCATGACATAGTGACACAGTGACATGATGACACGGTGACATGATGACACCATGACATAGTGACACCATGACATGTTGACACGGTGACATGGTGACACCATGACACAGTGACACAGTGACACCATAATATGGTGACATGGTGATGCTGTGACACCGTGACATGGTAATATGGTGATGCAGTGATGCTGTGACATGGTGACACTGTGACATGATGACATGATGATATGTTGACACAGTGACATGATGACATTATGATGCAGTGACACAGTGATGTGATGACATGGTGATATGGTGACACTGTGATGCTGTGACATGGTAGCAAGGTGACACTGTGACATGGTAACATGGTGATATGGTGATGTGGTGACACTGTGACGTGATGATGTGGTGACACAGTGATGCTGTGCCGTGATGACATGATGACATCGTAACATGGTGATGCTGTGACATGGTGATGTGGTGATGTGGTGACGTGGTGACATGGTAGCATGGTGACACCGTGACATGGTGATATGGTGACACAGTGATGCTGTGACATAATGACATGGTGACATAGAGACATGGTGACACCATGACATGGTGATATGGTGACACAGTGATGCTGTGACATGACAATCTGATGACATGATGAGGTGATAAGGTGACACTGTGACATGGTGACACAGTGACACCCCATTCCTACAGTACGAGAATCAGACGAAGATCCTGGGCAAATGGAGCAGACAGGCGCTCCCAGGTCACCCCAGCTTCTCCGACGCCGCCGGCAGAGTGGGGCTGCCCCGCGAGCGCATCCGACCCCCCAAGGGCTGGAGCTGGGATGGACACTGGGCCGTGGAACCACCACGGCGGTGAGACCCCAAGGGACACCTCCTCCCCATGCATGGGAACAGCAAGGAGATGGCAGCTGGTCTTGTCCTCAGGCTGCTGCCGGACCCCGAGGCTGGCATGGACGAGGTGTTGGAGGAGGTCTATGAGAACCAGAGCCGGCAGCACGGCGGGGAATGGGAACCTGCTGCTGTGCCCAACACTGATGTGGTGAGAAGGGGTGACAAGGGGTGCAGTTGAGTGGCACAGACACCCCAGAGCTCAGCTTCTGCCTGCTGCAGGCCGGCACAGCAGTGCCCCCTAAGGAGGAGGTGGCATGTCCCCAAGGCTGGCACGTCACCGATGACTGGCAGGTGGAGGTGACGGGGTCCGTGGATGAGGCTGGTGAGCGATGTCCCCATGTAGATGTGCTGGGTTGGGGGGGTGGCAGAGGTGACAATGACAACGTGGGTGATGCAGGATGGGAGTATGGGGTGAGCGTGGCGGCCGGAGACCCTTCACCTGCGTGGCACCCCAAAGAGGAGATGTATCACACACAGCGACGGCGGCGATGGCTGCGCACCCGGCGTAGGGACAGCAGTCCCCAGGAACAGGAACAGGACACCGATGTGGTGGTGGGAATGGGGTGGCACATATGGGGGTGGTGGGGATGGGGTGGCAAGGAAAAGGGTGATAGGATGGGAAGGATAAGGATGGGGTGGCAGAAACAGGGTGAGAGATATGAGGGTGAAAGGGGATGGGGAGGTGGGGATGGAGTGGTGGATACAAGGGTGGTAGGGAGGGGGTGGCAAAAATAGAGTGGTGAGGTTGGGGGTGACAAGGATGGGGTGGCCAGAGTGGAGTGGCACAGGTGGGGTGGCAAGGAAGGAGGTGACAGGATGGGGTTGAACGGGATGGGGTGGCTGGAAGGGGGTAGCAGGGGTGGAATGGCAAGGATGGGGGTGACAGAGATGGGGTGGCAGGGACAGGTGTTCCCCCTGCTCTGAGCACCCTTCTCTCCCCACACTGTCACCTTTGTGCCACCCATCCCCACAGCACAGCCCCGAGGCTCCGGATAAAGCATGGGAGTACGCATCCCTGTGGGGCGGCCGCTTCCATCTGCAGCGCCGAGCGGGTGATGTCTGCCGACGGCGCTGCTGGCATCGGCACATGGTGCCAGAGCTGTCCTCATCTGTGGCTGCCATCTTCCTCCTCGAGGGTGCAGCGGTACGGATGGGGATGGACGAGAAGGATGGGGATGAAGGGAACGACAGAGGGATGGAGGAAGGGATGGAAAGGGATGGAGGGACAGGGGGGTGTGGGGATTTGAGGACAGAGGGATGGAGGGACAGAGGGATGGATGGAGGAATGGATGTAAGGAGGAAGAAACAGGGATAAAGGGATGGAAGGACAGAAGGATGGATGCAGGGATGGAGGGACAGAGGGTCAGATGGATGCAAGGGCAGGCAGAGAGGGAGGGAGAGATGGATGCAGGGATGGGGGGACAAAGGGTCGCAGAGATGGAGGGAAGGACAGACGAATGCTGAGATGGAGGAACAGAGGGAGGGATGCAGAGGTGTGGGGATGCAGGGAGAGCGGGACACAGGCGCAGTGGGATGGAGGGGCATGAGGACAGTGGCACAGGGGGGCCGGGTTGACTGCTCTACCCCACATCCCAACTTGTAGGATGCGGAGGAAACGCCAGAGAGCAAGCAGATGGCAGCAACACCCAAAGGCCGGGGACACCCCCAGCACCCCATGCCTGTCATCCTCTGCACCTTTGAGCGTGAGCCACAGGACACTGGGGGAGGATTCTGGGGGTCCAGGGGTCCCCAGTGCTAACACTAACCCAGAACCTCCTGACATGTCTCCCTCCTTCCACAGGACCCAGCTCCTTCCAACTCCGCTGTTACCTCTTCCAAGCACTGGAGTTGAAGCCCCACAGCACCAAGACCACAGCAGGTGGGACCCCCCCAGCACCCCGACTCCCCCCCCCCCAGCAGCATCCTTGGGTGCTGACAGTGGGTGCTGCTCCCACAGATCCTGTTGCCCACGTCTCCTTCGTGCACATCAGCCAGAGCACCCGCGTGCTGCCCGGCACTCTGGACCCAGTTTGGGATCAGTCATTGCTCTTCCATCGGGTGCAGCTCTATGGGGACCCACGTGGGGTGCGGGATGAGCCCCCAGCTGTGGTGGTGGAGGTGTTCGATCAGGATGGAGGGGTACATTGGGGATACCCAGGGGTGGGGAGCACCTACAGGCAGTGGGCAGCCATGGGTGCGGGCACCCACGCCCTGTCGCTGCCTCGTAGGGTGCTGGGAGCTTCCTTGGGAGAAGTGTGTGCACCCCAAAAGTGTGGCTGGATGTGGGGCGCTGGAAGTCCCCCCGGCTGCAGAGATACCCACTGGAGGGGCCGGGGGGTCCGGCCGGGGAACTGCTGGCTGCCTTTGAGCTGCTGCACGAGACTGAGGTGAGAGATGGGCAGCAGGGGGAAAATGGGGGGGTTCCCAGAGCCTGTCCCCAGCATTCACACCCCTGTCACCCCAATAGGATGGGGCGATGGCACGGCTCAGCACCCCACCATGGAGACAGGGCACCTTCAGCATCCCCCCAGGCATCCGGCCAGTCCTGAGGCTGATGGCATTGGAGGTGATGCTGGGGACATGGGTGGCAGGGAGGAGAGGGGGGGATGAGGTTTGGGGCAGGGAGGGGACAAGGACATGGATGAGGACAGGGATATGGGGAGTGGGATGAGAAGAGGATGGGGACATGAACAGTAAGATGGGATGGGATGAAATAGGACAAAACACAGTGGAAAGGGACAAGAATGGATGGGATGGGATGCAGTGGAAAAGGAAGGGATGGGATGGGACAAGATATGATGGGATAGGACAAGATAGGGACAGGGAGGCTGGAGACAAGGATGTGGACAAAGACAGGACAGCAATGAGGACAGGGGTGGGAACAGGGACTGCAATGGAGATGGGTTGGGGATTGGGTTGGGCACAAGAATGGGGTAGAGGTGGAGAATGGGATGAAGATGGGAAGGGGACAAGGGCAGGGGGGGGATGGAGACTGGGAGGCAACAAAGACAGCAATGAAGAAGGTGGAAATGGGGATGAAAAGGACAGGGATGCAGGAAAGGATGGAGATGGGTGTGGGACACGGGTGAATGGATTTGGGCCCTGCAGGTGCTGGCGTGGGGGCTGCGGGGGCTCCGTGGCCGCTCCCTGCTGCCCGTGCGTGCCCCCAGCCTGGAGGTGCAGTGTGGGGGGCACGTCCTGCGCATCCCCCCCATCACCGACCTCGCCACCAACCCCAATTTCCCCATCAACGCCTTCCTGCTGACGCTGGTGAGCACACGGGGATGGGGAGCAGAGCCCACCCGTGGGTGCTGGCACCCCGGGGTGACGGCGTGGTTTGGTCCCAGCACCTACCAGGGGAGGAGGAGTACGTGCCCCCGATCCGGCTGCGGGTTTTGGACACGCAGGGCTTTGGGTTCCGGCCCCACGTGGGCCAGGCGTGCGTGCAGGACCTGGCGAGGTTCCGCCGTGAGCCCGATGGAGAGGAGCAGCTGCCCCAACCTCGTGTCCCTGTGTCGGGTTCCAACGCCGGTACAACCTTGTCCCATCCCCACCTCGCCCCTGCCCCATCTCTGCCCATCCATGCCCTGTCCCTAAGACCCTCTACTCCATCCCTGTCCCTTCCCCATCCCTCATACATCCCTGCTCCATCTCTATCCCTACCACCATCCCATTCCTATTCCTACCCCATCCCTGTCCATCCCTTTTCTGTCTCCCTCATATCCTCCTATCCCCTCCCTGCCCTGTCTCTGACTCCAGTTCCTCCTTGTCCCATCCCTGTCCCATACCTGTCCCGTCCCATCCATCCCTTTCCCATTCCTGCTTCATCCCTTTCTCATTCCTGATCCATCCCTGTCCCATCCATGCCCCCTCCCTGTCCCACCCCTTCCCCCCCACTGTCCCATCCCTGTCCCTCTGTAGGACACTCACTTTGTGTCCCCCCACACACAGCTGCTGCCTGGGGCAGGATTGCTCAGGTGAGCCCCCCCGTGTCCCCTAAACCTGTCCCCACCCCCAGCAGCCCTGGCTGTGCCGTGGGATCCCCCCACTTTCTGTCCCCAAATGTCCCCTCTGCTCCCAACAGATGCTGCCCAGGGTGACCTCTGAGAAGGGGACTGCAGACAAGGTGGGCACAGGAACTGAGGGTCACCAGGGGCCACCAGAGCCACCAAGGTCATCCTGCCTCACCCTGCTGCCCACCAGGACACGGAGAGGGAGGAGGAAGATGAGGAAGAAGGCGACTGGTGGAGCAAATTCTACATGGCCATGGGAGACAAGGCAAAGAGCCACCGGAGGACACACGGGGACAGCCTGAAGGTGAGGGGAACAGTGTGACATGGGGCAGGGGATGGGGATGGGGTAGGAAGGACAAAGGTGGGGATGGGGGTGGGAATAGGGTGGGACTGGGGCAGGGATGGGGTGGTGGTAAGAACAAAGATGGGGGTGGAGGCAGGGATGGTTGGTGATAAGGATACAGGGATAAAGATGGGATGGGAACATGGTCAGGGATGGAAATTGGGGGAGAAACAGGACGGGGATGAGGATTAGGAAAGGAAAGTGATGAAGAAATGGTTGAGATGAGGATGGGGACAGAGATAGGGACTGTGATGAATACAGGATGAAGACAAGAACAGGGACAAGGCTGGGGATGGGTGGTGAAGATGAGGTGAGGACAATGACAGGAACGGGACAATAATGAAGATGAGTTGGGGACAGGGACAGCGATGGGATGGGGACAGTGATGAAGAAGGGGACTGGAAGAGGAGAAACACCAAAGCAGGGATGGGGACAATGCCAGCCCCGCTGTGCCCCAGGTGTACAGCTGTGAGCTGGAGGCGGTGCCCAAATTCGAGGGGCTGCAGGATTTCTGCCAGACCTTCCCCCTCTACCAGCCGGGGGGGCAGCAGGGGGACGACCCCGTGCCTGTGGGCGAGTTCAAGGTGAGATCCCCGTACCCCCAGGGACCCCAGACCCAGCGCGGGGGCACTCGGGGTGCACGGCCAGGCTGTCCCCCACTCCCAGGGGCTGTTCTGTCTCTACCCCCTACCCGAGGACCCCGGGGTGCCCCCGCCGCCCCGCCACTTCCAGGAGCTGCCCCCCAGCCAACCCCAGCAGTGCCTGGTGCGTGTCTACATCGTCCGTGCCTTCGACCTGTCCCCTCGTGACCGCAATGGGATGGTAAGGCCACCCCCGTGTCCCCCACCCTGTGTGTCACCATCTGGCACCCTGACGGCCCCCTCCCTGCTGCCAGTGTGACCCCTACGTTCGTGTCTCGTTGGGAGCAAAGACCCTGGGTCAGCGTGACCAGTATGTGCCCAACACTGTGGAACCAGTTTTTGGCAGGTAGGGCCACCATGGGTGGTTTGGTGGCACTGCCACTCCTGGCTGGCACAGAGGAGAGATGCCCAGGGGGGCTGCTGGAGCTCTGTGCTGGCGGATCCCCATTCCCCATGCCACCATATCCCTAATTTGTCAGCAGGTCTCTGTGCCAGCAGGTCTCTGTTACTGCGTCCCCATTCCTCGTGCTGGAGGGTCCCTGCACCACCACATCCCCATCCCCCATGCCAGCAGGTCCCCATGCCACCAGCTCCCTATTCCCCATGCAGGTGTTCCCCTATAACACCACATCATCATGGCAACAGGTCCCCATTCCTTGTGACAGCAGGTCCCTGTGCCAGCGTGATCCCATTCCCTATGCCACTAAGTCCCCATGCCACCAGCTCCCTATTCCCCAGGACAGTAGATCCCATAAAACCAAGTCCCCACGCTACCAGGATCCCATTCTCCATGTCACCAAGTCCCCATTCTCCATACCAGCAGGTCCCCATGCCATAAAGTCCCCATTCCCCTTGACAGTCTTGAGGTCCCATAACACCAAGTCCCTATGCCACTGAGTTCCCATTCCCCACGCCACCAAACCTCCATGCCACCAGCTCCCCAATCTCCATGATAGTGGGTCCCATAACACAAAGTCCCCATGGCACCAGGATCCCATTCCCTGTGCCACCAGCTCCCCATTCCTCAAGACAACTGGTCTCACAGCTAAGTTCCCATGCCACCGTGACCCCATTCCCCATGGCAGTAGGCCCCATAAAACCAAGTCCCCATGGCACCACACCCATGTGCCACCAGCTTCTCGTTCTCCATAATAGTAGGTCCCATAAAAATGAGTCCCTATGCCACCAAGTCCCCATTCCTCATGATAGTAGGTCTCATAACACCAAGTCCCAATGCCACCAAGACCCCATTCCTCACATCACCAAGTCCCCATGCCACCAGCTCCCCATTCCCCATGGCAGTAGGTCCCATAACACTCAGTCCCTACACCACCAGGATCCCACTCCCCATACCACCAGCTCCCTATGCCCCCCAGTCCCCACGCTAGCACATCCCACACCTGTCAGCCCCTGCCCTGGTGCCAGCAGGTCCCCATGCCCCCATGCCCACCGGTGCCTGTCCCCACGTGGGCTCACCTTGGGGCTGACCCCACTGCCAGGATGTTCGAGGTGATGGGCACCGTCCCATTGGAGAAGGACCTGAGGGTCTCACTGCTGGACCACGACCTGCTGCCACCCGACCAGGAGATTGGAAGCACCACCATCGACCTGGAGAACCGGCTGCTGTCCCGATTCCGTGCCCACTGCGGGCTGCCCCGTCTGTACCGCACGTGGGTGACCCCCAGGATGGGGAGGGGGCTCTGGAATTGGGGGTAGGGATGTGGGGAGGGGGTGCGTGTGGAGGGATGAGGGCAAGGGAGGCGAGGAGGGCAGAGCGGTGTGGGGACAAAGAGGATATGAAGGGTACAGGGGTATGGGGACAAAGAGACGGGGACACAGACATGGGGAGGGCATGGAGGCATGGGGACAAGGGGATAGGGGGGCATAGGGGGACATGGGGACAGGGAGGTGGGCGCAAGGGTATGGGGACAAGATGGGGAGGGCACAGGGACATGGGGACATGGACTTGAGGAGGGCATAGGGACAAAGGAAGATGGGGAAAAGGAGATGCAGAGGGCACAGGGGGATGGGGTTGAGGTGGGTACATGGGGTAGTGACAGGACTGGGAAGAGGAAATGGGGACGGAGTGGGCAGGGAGTCAGGGGCGAGGAGATGGAATGGGACGGGAGCAGGAACGGAGATTGGTTGGGTCCAAAAGGATGGACAGAGGGAATTGGGAACAGGGAGGTGGGACAGGGTTGGCATAGGGCGCATGGAGAGCTGGGAAGGGCATAAGGGGGTGGGCACAGGGGAACTGGGAATGGGGTGTGGGATGGGGTTGGCACAGAGGACACAGGGAGCTGGGAAGGGCACATAGGGATGGGCACGGGGAGCTGAGGATGATACAAAGGGGAAGATGAGGGGGCACAGGGCTATGGGGTGGGCACAAAGGGTTGAGCACCACAGCCCTCAGCCCTACACCGTGCCCACAGGGCTGGCCCTGGGCGCTGGCGGGACCAGCTGAGCCCCAGCCGGGCACTGGAGCACCTGGCTCACACCCGGGGGCTGCAGGCACCCGAATTCAGCGCCGACGGAACCTCCGTCATCTTCGGGGGCTCCACCTTCCTGCTGAGCCATTTCGGTTGGTTGGGGTCTGGGGGGCGATGGGGTGTTTGAGGGTGATGGGGTCCCTCCGATGGTCCCTCCGGAGGGTTTGGCATTGCAGAGAGTGGACCCCCCACATATCGTCACTCCGGGGCGCCCCGGGAGCGCCTGGCCCTGCATGTGCTGCATGCATGGAACCTCGTCCCCGAGCACCTGGAGACCAGGACGCTGTACAACAGTGCCCAGCCTGGGCTGGAGCAGGTGGGGATGGGGTGGTGGGGACAGCGGGGTGCAAAGAGATGTCAGGGGGTGATGGGGAAAGAGGAGCGATGGGGATAGGGGAACTGCAGGGATGCTGGGGACTGCGGGGTGGTAGGGACAAAGCTGAGGGTGGTGGAAACCTCAGGTATGGAGGGAATGCAGTGGGACGAGAGGGAGGGATGGTGGTCTGGGGGCAATGGGGACCCTCGGGTGACAGGGACAGCCTAGCAGGGAGGGATGCTGGTTTGGGGACAATTGGGACACCATCATAAAGTGATGCCTGGGGATGATGGGAACAGGGGGTGGTGGGGTTGGGGGGGTCCTAACGTGATGGGCACAAGGTGGGATGCTGGGGGTGGGTGACGGAGACCTCACAAGGGGACAAGTGGCAGCACATCCACCCCATGGCACAGGGCAAGGTGCAGATGTGGGTGGACATCTTCCCCGCCAGCCTCGGCCCCCCTGGACCCCCCGTGGACATCACTCCCCGCAAACCCCAGAGGTGAGTGCTCACCACGGGACAGGGATGTCCCCCAGGGGGGTGGGTGGGTGACACAACCCCCCCTCCCCAGCTACGAGCTGCGCTGTGTGGTGTGGAACACCCGCGACGTGGAGCCAGGGGACATCAGTGCAGCAGGGCAGAAGATGAGCGATATCTACGTCACCGGGTGAGCATGGAGCCACTGCTGCGTCCCAAAGGCCACGGGGACGAGGTGGGGGGGCCACGAGGACAGCTGTACCTCCCTCCCCACGATGTGCAGCTGGCTGGATGGGCTGGAGGAGCAGAAGCAGAGGACGGACGTGCATTACCGGGCGCTGCAGGGCGACAGCAGCTTCCATTGGCGCTTCGTCTTCCCCTTCCAGTACCTGGCAGCTGAGCAGCGCTGCGTGCTGCCCCGCAAGGTGCTGTGCCCCACGGTGAGGGGGGAGAAATGAGGTTTTGGGAGCTGAGCGTGACCCCCTTCTCCTCCCCTCGCACCGTGCAGGAGCATTTCTGGAGCCTGGATGAGACGGTGCTGAAGGTGCCCCCGAAGCTCATACTCCAAGTGTGGGACAACGACAAGTTTTCGGCTGATGATTTTTTGGGTGAGGGTACATCTGCCCACCCAAGGAGGGCACAGAGGGACACCCAGGGCTGACACTTCTCTCTACAGGTGTCCTGGAGCTGGAGCTCACCCGGCTGCCCCGTCCAGCCCAGCGGCCACAGGACTGCACCCTAAAGCCACGTCTGAGCCTCTGGCCCTGGGGGAGGATTCGGGGACCCCCCCGTTTCTCTCTGTTCCGACAGAAGCAGGCGCGGGGATGGTGGCCCTGCGTGGTGCACGAGGGTGGCACGCAGCGCATGGCGGTACGGCGGGGAAGGGGACGGCAGTGGGATTTGGGTGGAGGAGAGGGGGCAGGGAAACACATCCCACCCCCATATCCACCTGCTGTTCCTCCTGTAGGGCAAGCTGGAGCTGAGCCTGGAGCTGCTCAATGAGAAAGAGGCAGAAGAGAGACCAGCGGGGAAAGGCCGGGAGGAGCCCAACGCCTACCCAACCCTGCAGCCCCCCGTGTGAGCCTCCCGGATCCCAAAGGGCACAGAGGGGGAGGCAGAGATTGGGGTGACACGACTCCACGCCCAACAGGCGGCCTGACTCATCCTTCCTATGGCTGCGGGCCCCACTGCGTGCCCTGCGCTACGCCGTCTGGCGGAGGCACCGCTGCCGCATCACCGTGACCCTGGCACTGCTGCTGCTGCTCCTTCTGCTCCTCAACTTCATCTACTCTGCCCCGGTGAGCACAGAGGACTCCCCAAACCCACCCTCGCCTGTGGCTCGCAGAGCCCTGCTGAGCCCCCCCGCTCTGGTTCCTTCCCCCCCAGGGTTACGTGGCCATGAAGCTGGTGAACCCGCTGCAGGGGCTGCACCTCTTTGGTGCTGGGAGGAAACGCTGAGCGTCCACAGCATCAGAGGACACAGAGCACCGAGGGCATGCAGACACATCACCTCCTTAATAAAATCAGAACTGAGATGGGCAAGGCAGTGTGACTCTGTGAGCAGAGTGCCAGGAGGAGCTCAGGACAAGGAGCAGCAGTGCCACACACACACACACACACCAACATTTATTCCAAGACATGTTACAGCTGGGAAGAGGTGCACACGTTTCACTCCTGGCTCTCAGGTAAAACAGAGGCAAAACATCACAGAGCAGCCCCTTCCAGGCCCCATGAAGTTTCTCTGGGCACTTCTAACAAGCTTCCATCCACCCCAGTACAAGCATCCTGCCCACAAGGCACCATTCCCCGCAGTCTGGGACCCATCCTGGCTCAAAAACACAGCTCCCAGCCCTGTCCCATGGCACCCATAAGCAGAGAGCTGCCATCTGGATGTGCTCAGAGCTGTTAGGGATGCACCGACCTCCTGTCCCTGCGGCACCCCATGCCATCACCCCCCAAATCCTCAGAGCAGCTGCAGGAGCCCAATGCAGTCCCCAGGGTGAAAGGTGCTCACGCTGCTCCTTCCCATAAGAGAAACACAGCGAGGAGTCACTGACAGAAGCAGTCACTGAGGTAGGAATAAACCAGGACTCCCTGGAAGGCAGCGAGGGCTGTGGCTCTGAGAGGCCCCCCGTGGTTCAGCTGCTCCTGGAGGGAGCAATGAGCCAGAAAAGCAACGACATGCAGGCAGTGTGGGAGGTGTGTGCAGGCACAGCATGCCAGAGAGGGACTGAGCTGAGCCCCAGGGCAGCAGCAAACAGGGATTGAGAAGGGAGAGTGTGGTATTAAACCCTGCCTGGGGTGGGGAAGTAGTCAGTGTGTCCTCAAAACACCCAACACCGGGGGTTAATGGGATGGAGGGGCTGCACAGAGGTTTGGGGGAGATTCGAGGTGCGAAGAAAAAGCGGGAGGGTCTCTAAAGAGGGTCTGAGGTGGGTGATGGGAGCAGCCTGAGCAGGAGAACAGCTTGGCAAAGCCCTCCTGGAAACAAAACCACTTCAAAGGGGTTGTTGCAGGAACGTGGCAAAGAAAGCAGGGCTGGGACTTCACAGCCAAAGTGGTGACCACCACCGATGTGTGATGGCAGAGCCAGCCCAGCGCTGCCACTGCCCTGTGAGCCACCTCCAACAGCTCCCAGAGCCCAGCTCCAGCTCCCAGCAGGTCTGCAGGGGACAGCAGCTTCATCCCCAGCACAATGTGGGTCCCCTCTGGCACTGGGGGAGTCCTGGAGCCCAGTGACAAACAGCAGCCATCCCCACCGTGGTTCTTGGGGACATTGGGGGTGCTGCCATGAGGCAGTCTGTCACACTGCAGCTGTCAGTAGAAATGCTTCCGGCTCTGCTCCTGCCACTTGTTGTACACAATGACTCCAATAACGATGGCGAAGACGATGGCCACGAGAGAGAAGAAGACAATTAAGAAGAGAGCCAGGCCGCTCATGGGCTCCAGTGGTGCCTCCACTGCAGGGGAGAGGAACAGCTGTGAGACTTCAGTTGCTGCACAGCAGCTCGTTGCCATCCTCCTGACCAAAGTGGCATGATTCTTAAAGCAGTTCAGCTGCTTTGCTGCTGAGATGCCAGAATTTCTGCCCCTTTACCCAACCCCCCTCCCCACGTACTTCCTGGCAGCTTGAGGTTGTCCACCACAGGCAGGTACACCTCCTTGTCCTGCCGCTCCTCCTCTGGCGTCCGCTCCACTGTCAGTTGGTACAGCTTCAGAGAGATGATGTCATGGTTGTCTGCAAGCAGAGCAGATGAATCCTGAAATGTCACCCACCAAAATGGCCCCAGCCAGGGATGTGAGTGCCACTGGTGGCACCGTAGGACGTCGTCACTCAGCCAACAGCCCCAGGATGCCAGCTGTCCCCTCTCAACAGGAGAACTCACCTCCTCAGGTCAGGCTCTATGCTCTTCCAAAACCTCCAACAGGAACCTTTAAGCTACTTAAATCAAGAAACAACAGCCCAAACCGGGCCACCATCTGACTCAAAAGCATTCACCCTCCCCCATTGCAAGAGCAGAGTGTTAGAATCAGCCTCACATGACCCTATTTCCTTTGCTTGTGACCGTGCTGTTATTAGTGGGACAACGCGAGTGCTCCAGGCCAGCCTGCCAGCTCCCAGGGCATTAGGCAGAGATCTGAGGAAGAAAAGGAACTTTTGTTGGAGCCAACAATGGGTCCAGATGCCAGCCAGTGTGCTTTCATAGGGTATAATTCAAAATCAGGCTTAAAACCTGCCCGGAGAGACAGAGCTGGGTAACTCCAGGCTTCACAGCACCCCAAGCAGCACTGCAAGAAAAGGGGTGAGCAGAGAAAGGCAAAGAGCTTCAGCTCCTGCAAAGCACCACTTCCATCAGCCCATACTGCACCCTTCCCCAGCACCACTGCCCTGTGGTTAGGAAATGCAAAGAGCAGACTACAGCTGCTCTGACAACGCAGCCAGCACCTCTGTTTTCACAGTGTTTTAAGAGCAGTGTTTTAACCCCCAGCAGTAGGACAGCAGTGATCTCAGTGCTGCCCTCAGGCTCCGCTCATCACTGCAGATTAAGCCATGAGGGTACAGATGAGATTTTCAGCTCTCGGTCTGTTCTGCTCCTCCTGAGGCACACAGCTTGGGGATGAACCCTCCTGAGTGGCTGCTGTTTGGTAGGAGGTGCTGGCTGATGGTGCTGCCCATGTCACTGCCTGGATGTCACCGCCAGCCTCATCTGATGGCAGAGGGAGCTCAAGGAAAGCTGCTTGAGGAGCTGCACAGCACACCCAGACTGAGATCTGAGCTCCCCAGGATGAAAAACAAAGTTCCCTCAAGCAGGGAGAGATCCTCTGGTGCTCTGTAAGCCCCACCACACCTCAGCTGCACCTCCAGACACCCAAAGCTGCACAAGAGCTGCTCAGCAAACACTGCTCGGGGCCACACAGCAGTACCTGAGAGGTCTCCAGTGACAGAGGAGGTCCCAAAGTAGTACCCACGGGGCAGGCGCACGCCAGGCACATCGATGCAGTCTCTCCACTCCTGCTTACCATCAATATCTATCAGCACCTGGAAACAAAGAGGTTCTGGGAGCACCAGGTGCCAGCACGGCTCTCTGAAAAACCCCAACAAGCAGCACTCACTGTCAGCCTCCTCTTGACATAGCGGATGACCAGGAAGGTGTCGTGGTTGAGGTTGCGTACCATGGCTGTGCAGCCCCCCAGCTCTGTGGGTCTGCCATCCCTGTCGTGGTCGTAGGTGAGAGAGCCATTGTTCACCATGGCAGAGATGTAGGGGAAAACACGCTGTGGGGAGAAGGCCAAACTCAGCTCCCAACTCTGCTCCAGCATCACAGTGTGCCTGCAGGGTCTGGAAATGCTGAATTTTGGGTGGTCCCAGCTGGAAGCAGGAGCTGGGATCACAGTGGGTCCTTTCCCACTCAGGGTATTCTATAATGTGATTCTACGATCCTATGACATGCTACTGACCCCCAGGCTCCTTCACCCCAGCCATGCTTCCCCAAAAGCACGATCCCTGGTCATCCCCTCACCTTGGCTACCACGTATCTAGGACAGAAGAGAAAGTTCTCATGCTTGCTCCCTGCTCACACAGGGATGTCTGCAGCTCCAGCGAGGGAATTCCCTTACCGAGAGGACAAAGTAATACCAAGCAGCTCAGAAATGGGTAGGTCAGCAAGAGCAAGTACCTGATTTCCTGGGCTGTACCTCCTCTTCTGAGCCTGCAAGTCCAGTATCGCAAAGCAAGAAAGAGCACAGAAGCAAAATGGTCACAGACCAGAGTTTAGCATGAAACTGCAACCTGGGAATCCTCCTTGCACAGCTCAGCAAGGGCTAAAGCCAGAGGGGGGTTCAGCTGCTGGCTGCCAAACCTGGGGCACACAGCCAGGATGCAGCTGGTGGGCTAGAGAAACACAGCCACAGCTCTGCACGTCTGCAGGACCAACACCACAACAATCCCTGCGCAGCGCCAGGAACACCACAGGCTTTGGTCAGAACACACCAAGGCACCGCTATGAGCACAAAGTCCACCCAGGGCTAGAGCAGGCTGCTAGTAATGTTTGAACAAAGCTGGTGGTTGCTCATTGTTTATTCAGCAGCTGCAAGGTCAGGGTGCATCGCAGCAGTGCCCCCTGTATCCTCTGGGGACTGCAGAGAGGAAGGAGGGCAGCCCTGGGGGGATATGGGGAGAGCACTGAGGTTGTGAGGGTAAAACAGTGCCTGTTTGCTAGAAGAAGCTGCAATTACAAAAAGGTGAATTGTTTCAGAAGTGACAATACCAACAGCAGGATGGGGAAGGTCAGGTTTTCACTGCCTCACAACCCCAGTCAACACCAAAGAGCCCCAAGCAGACAAAGCAGGCAGAGCAGCAGAGTGCAGGCAGACTCTCAAAAGCAGCCCCAGCACACAGCCAGCTGGGGGGGTGCTGCTCAGCTGCTGCTCTGCTTGAGCTCCATTAAGTCCACGTGTGCTTCCCCCCAGCTGCTTCTTGCCTGCAGCCTTCCAAAAGCTCAGCAGCTCACCACACAGTGGTGGTGACCCATTTGTTTTCTCCTACCCTGCTTTTTCTGGGTGAAGTTGACAACAGATCTGCTCACAGATTGCCTCACTACAAAGAAACTAACCACGCAGAGAGGAGAAGGTGGCAAGGCAAGCTGAGTAATCCCTGCTGGCAGCCAGCTGGCCTCCAATTTCAGCTCATACCTCGCTGGCTGCAAGTTGAGCTTGTGCTGTGCAGCCCACGCTGCATCCAGCAGGCTGCACATCACCCCCCAGCTCACCTCCTGCTGCTTCTCCTCGTTGGGGTAGGTGTCCACAAACACCCCCAGGCCCAGGAAGTTATCCTTGCTTCCAAAGACAGGCCCTGGGGGGGAAAGACAGACAGTAAGAAGGACAGCAGAGAGACAGAGGCCCTGCAGTTCCTCAGAGGGATCCAAAGGAATGCACAGAGCCACTCTGGCCACTATGTGCCCGCAAAAAGGTGACACCAACAGCCCTCCCTGCAGGCACAGCTGTCCTCCAGCAGGGTTTACCTTGCTGCATGCGGTCTTTGGTGTACCATATGGCAAAGCCATCACCGTTCAGGTTCTTCTTGCCTTGCCCATGGATTTTGAAGTGCACCTGCATCTCCCAGTCACGGAGGTAACACGGCTGCAAGGAAGAACAAACCCTCAATCCCAAAGTCTCTCCTTTGGAACCCATTTCTCCACCCCCAGTCCAAGTCCACACACCTCAAGCCTCCCCAGCACTCCCCAACACCACTCAGGACACCACTTTTTTTCCCTAAAACCTCACATCCCAGTGCCACCTCCATCCCAACTTTCCAGCTCCGAACCCATTCCAGATCCCTGCACTCCAAAAACTCTTCCTCTGAATCTATTTCTCTACCCCCTCCCCTTAAGTGCAGACACTCCGCACCCCTGACCCTTTCCCTACATTCCCCCCCAGATCTGAATCCATTGCTCCAGTCCTATTTTATTGCCCCCCACATCCCTGTCCCCCCCCCCTTCTTATCCCCCTCCACTCTAAAATCTCTCCATCTGAACCCCTTCCCCTCCTCCTGCCCTCCCCCAAGGTGCCCCACACCCCTGACCCCCTCCCACTCTGAAGTCACAGAATGGCCCGGGTTGGAAGGAACCTCAAGGATCACGAACCT